ATGCCACGGCCTTCCCAAAGGCCCTCTGCCCATCCCAGGAGCCCAATCTACCTTAGCTCTGCTGCACTCTGGCCTGCCATGTCCTCCAGGAAAAGGCTGGGTAGAGGATAGAAACCCTCCTTTCCAGGACAGCACAAAAGCACAACCCCTCCCACGCCAGCCCTGGCCAATCGCCTCATCCCATCACCAAGTCTCGTCCTCTATAGGAAGAGGCCCTCCAAAGTCGAAAACAAAGGCCCGTCTCTCTGTAGGCTCTCGGAATAGATCCTGGACCCCTCCCTTCAGCAGATCCCCTTGCAGGGGAGCGCTGGGTGGCCACAAGGACTCCCACCTAGCAAGGGCATCCAGGCTGGCTGCTGGGGTCTCACTCTGGGTCTTTCCAGGCAAGATTTTGATGCGAATGTCCTGACAAATACCAGACTTGAATGTTTCCCCATACAAAGAACTGGAAGTGAGGATTGCACAAGCCCTTTGCATAAGGCTTGTGGTGCAACTGTTACTTTTGTTTTTAAACTGTGTAACGAGTTATTCTGCACTCCTTTCTAAGCTGTCCTGCTTGTCAGCATCTCCCTCTGGATTTCCTTCTGTCCTCTTCTGGACGTTTCTAAACATTTCACTGACTCCCTTTCTTTTCCTCTCTGCCCAAAGGTTTGGATTATCAAGGCCTGTGGTGGCCCCAGCTTACGTGGCTGCACCCACACAGGAGGCTCTGTGTACAGTGAAGAGCTGAGGCCCTCGCAATGGCAGACACCCTAGAAAATGCTTCTGCTTTGGCCTTGTGCATCCTTAGCCTCCTGCATTAAGGAGACAATGAGCTGCTCCAGGGGGCACGAGGAGCCATAATTTAAGTAGGAGGCCTGCACGAGAGACACCCGGTTGGCTGGGAGCTGTCCAGAAGCACAAGGGCTGTGGTGACACATGATGGCAGGGGAAGTTCAGGAGAGTCAACGAGGCACGCGGCAGGGCTCCGCCAGCTGCCAGACTGGGCTGCTGCTAGAATCTTTTTTCAATAACTTGGACTCTTTCTGTACCTCGGGTTGCCCCCAAGAGTCATCCTGGCAGATGCTCAGAGAGAGGCTCCTTCCCATCACGCCTCCAGTCTCCCCACTCCTTCAGATTCTCTAGCATGGGAAGACCACCCTCCTCTTGCAGAAACAGGCAAGTCATACAGGGTCAGGTAAAGGGGCCAGCATAGGGTTGAGGACTGATCAAGGGTCAACTCACATCAGGATAATCCTGCACACCATGCAAACTTTGTTTAATTTTAATTAAGATGCCTCTGGTTCTTCCATTGGCACATAGCCTGCCTATCCAGGTAAGTCAGCCCTTTGTTTAAGGTCAGACTCATCAAAACAACCAAAAAACACAAAGCAAGTCCAGCAGCCCATCAGTCCATTGGCTGCGGGTCCAGTGCTCAGGAAGTGCCCAGCTTCAGGGAGCATGGCATCACCCTCATCCCCTTTAGCTGGGGAGCTCTAGCTACGAGATACAACTACAGTCAGGCAACAAGCATTCGTTAAGCACCTACTATGTGCCAGGCACTGTGCAAAGCTCTGGGGATAGGGGCAGCTAGGTGGAGCAGTGGTTAGAGCACTGGCCCTGAAGTCAGGAGGACCTGAGTTCAAATCCAGCCTCAGACCAAACACTTGACACTTACTAGCTGTGTGACCCTGGGCAAGTCACTTAACCCCAATTGCCTAAAAAAAAAAAAACAACAAAGCTCTGGGGATGCAAAGAAAGGCCAAAGCAGTTTAATGGCATGACAACACGCCCACAACAATGTACATACAAGAAAGATGCATCATAAATAGCATGGGGGGGGACAACACTGGAGTCTGGGGCCGAGGAAGGACTCCTGAGCGGAGATTTGAGGGAAGCCTGTGAAACCAGAAGGTGGAAGGAAGGAGGGAGTTCATCCCAGGTATGGGGGACAACTATGGAAGACGAGCCAGAGATTCCAGGGGTCCCCCAGGCCCATCAAGTTTTTGGCCTCTCAGATAGAGGCCACTTTACCTAAGACTGGGCAAGGGTGTGGTTACACTGCCCTTGGTGGGACTTTGGGGAAGGTAAGAAGGGTCAACCCTAACTCACTTTTCTCCTCTTTCTCTCTGGTTTCCTCTAAGAGCCTCCAAGGCTCTCTATCTCCTACATGGCCCAATCATTCATTGAATAAGCATTTACCATCTACCAGGCACTGTGGTAGGCTCTGGAGATACAAAGACCAAATTGTAACACTCCCTGTCCTCATGAAGCTTACATTCTAATGGGGGAGATGCTCAGTATCTCTATAGGAATGTACAAGGTAGACAAGGAGTAGGTGACCTTCACAGGGGATGCAGGAATTGATCGGCTCTTTGAGAAAATTCCAAGGGACATCTCTGTAAAGAGAAGGTATCTGTCCTTGGCCCAGACTTGCAGGAAGAAGGTCTTCACACAAATTGGGTTCCTGGGTTTCCCAGACATTAGCCTCTCTAACTGCCCTCCCCATCGCTTCCCCAAAGGGATCACAGGTTCAAGTTTGATGCCGTTGTGAACCGTTGGCCCAGTTTTAATTCATTAGCCCCAACCTCGCCCAGCCTCTGGGGCATCTTCAAAGTGGGAGCATCCTGGCCCAGAGGGATGGAGGAAGAGGGGAGAGGTTCTGCAGATTTAGAATTTCTAACCCTCCTAGGGCTCCGGCTTCATGCTATCTGACTTTCTCACTATTTATCTTGGGTGGCAGCTCCTATCCTGTCCTCTCCAAGACAAAAGGCATTCTGCGTGGCTGAGAAGACAAACAAGGTGGAGCAGCTGTACTTTCTCTCCCTGGCCCGTTATCACTGCCCCCTTCACCCTCTTCCCTGGCCCCAGGCTGAGCTAGAAGCCATCCTGGATAGCAGCTGGGCATCAGGGAGACTGCAGCCCTGAAGGGCATTCCCAACTGCCTAGCCTCATCTTCCCCCTTTACCCAGGCAGCTTAGCTGCCCCCATGCTTGGTCAACATGGCAGCCAACAGCTCCATTCCTTCAGGTGAGATGGAGGCCTTATCATCTGCACCCTGTATGGCCCTGGCACCATTATCTGACCCACTTACAGTGCCTCAGGCCCTCTGCACTTGCCTTACAAGTGAGCCTTCCTCCACATGTGGACTTTCCCAATCCAACTCTGAGCTACCCTAGAGCAGGGGCTGCCTCCACTCTTTTATTTGTATTCTTAGCACTCAGCACAGTGCTAGGCACATAGTAAGCCCTTAATAAAGGTTTTTCATTCATTTTTAAGGGAGCTAAAACACATACACATGCACACCCATTTTCTGCTGTCCTTAGTTTCCCATGTCAGCCGCAGTTCATTCTGAGCTTTAGTCTTCCTAACGCCATTTTTACAGGACCTCTCCCTCCTGTTCGTTCTCCATTACCCACCTCATAGCCATCATCTGAAACAACTAAGTTAGCTGGCCAGTTCCTGTGCACCCTCACTGCACTCTTATTTTCTTTCTTACTGGAAGCGTCTCCCTTCTGTCTTTAGAATTTCGTTCCTGAGCACCGCCCTCCCTTCCAGGACTCTCTTCCCATGCAGCCTTGCAGTCCATGCGAGCCTTCCTATCTGCCAGCTAAGCACAGTGTTGGACCCAAAGCAGGCATTTCTGTGCACCAGCTCACTGACCGACTTTCCTCTGAAAGACCTGGGTGGACTTGGCATCAAGAAGACCAGTGCTCAGACCTTGCTTCAGACATTCTCTGACCCTGAACAATCTCTTTGAGCCTCAGTTCTTTCCTCTGTTAAATGAAGGGTCTGGACTTCGTGACCCCAAAGATCCCCTCCGGTTCTAAAGCTCTGAGTCCATGATCCATGGTCCTACCTGTGTGACCCTGTGAGACCCTGGCCTAAGTCTCCTCCCAAGATGAGGAGGTTGGGCTTTCTAAGGTTCCTTCACAATTCTCAATCAATGATCCTGTAGTCCCAATATTTCTCAGCAGGCTGCCCATTTCATTTATTCAAAAAAATCTATAAGGAAGAGGAGACATTTTAATTTATTCCAATGGGGGGGGGTTTGGCCTCATTAACCTTGAATGATATGTTTTTAAAGACATTCCAAAGCTGTCGTGAGTGGCCACAATCCTCATCCCATGATGTGCAACGATGTCTGAAAGACACAGTCAAATACTGAAGGAAACATGATTTTCATGCCCAGGTCCGGACCATGTGTAGCCTTTATCTCTGGGATGAGAAAAATGTCTCCATAAAGATCCCCATATCCTGCTGATCTCCTCCAAAGTCAGCTAACACTTCTCTGCCCCATCGGCAGCAAAGATGCCGAGGGAACAATTGCTGTCCTCAACACAGCTTAATTGGAGCTCATTGAACCATAAGACCTTCCAAGAAGGATGGGCCCTCCCTTAGGATGACCCAGCACAACCACAACCCCCAAAGACACGGCATCACCTACTCTGCTGGGTCTGATGTGGAAATAACAATGGATTGCAGATCTCAGGAGTGATACCCATTCTCTAACACAGCAAAATCTTTCCACTGCCAAAGAATTTGCTTCTGAGGATGTCAGCATCTCTTTATGAGGGGAGACACAACCATGGAAAAATACTTTGATTTTTCCAGCATCTAGCCCAGAATAAGACCTTTATGCACCAGGGAGACTGTTTGTGGATGATTTATGGAAGGTCAGGGCCAAGAAGAGCCCAGCATAAGCAGGGGTGGACGTTCTGCATGGCCCAGCCCTAGCAGATCCCAGAACCTCTGCAATATCAAGTAGAGACCTTTAATGCTAGCAGGCTGTGGCAAGGACAAGAACAAGGTGTCTTTCCGCCTGCACAGGTTCGATACCAAGAGAATGGGGGGGAGGGTGTGGAGAAGAAGAGGACGCGCATGACAAATCCTGCCCTTTCTAACTCTCAGAGAACAAGGCACTGACCAAGGCCATCATCCTTCACAGAAGCCCCAGATCTCAGGGGAGGAGGAGCAGGAATCTTCCCCTAGCACCCCCACCCACAGCTGCACGGTCCTACCTCGGACAGCAAGTGCTGGACCACCACTGCCAGCGCCTCCAACTTGCGGTTCCCTCCCGTGAGAAGCTGCTTGAGGTGCAGGATGACCTTGCCTTGGTGGTCACATTTTGCTCTATAGGAGGCCAATCCCAGGGCTTTTTCAGTAGAGAGAGCATCCGGAGAAGACTGGGGCTGGCTGCACGGTGTCCGGGGGTGCCTCTGTTTACCTTTTTCAACTGAAAAAGAAAAGAGAATTTAGGAAGTGCCTCAGAAAGTCACCCTTTAACTGCCAGGGGCCCTAGAATCAGGACACAGAAACCCCTAGGTTGTGTCTAATCACACCAAGAATCTAAAGGTCTAGTCAGAAATCCTGCTGTGGCCCACACTGAGCTTTGGCCTCGCCCAGTGGGTTCCAGGTTTGTCTCATTGAAAATGCAATGAGCAATGGATACGGTTCCTCTCATTTCAGAACAGCCCACCTAATCACATCACCCAGTAAAAGGCAGAAAGACGGAAGCACCACCCTGGTCTCTTCTCAATGCCAGGGAAGCCCCTGGCTCAAGGGAGAGACCACAAGCAAGGAACCAATGGAAGCTGGTAGGCGAGGAGATGTGGGACAAGGACCAGCATCCTGAGGGAGCCAAGGCAGGTCTGAGCTCCAGCTCTGACCCTTTCACAGAAATGGAGGTCAGAAAGGACCTCGGTGGCCACCTAGCTCCAACCTGCGCCCCAAAGGATTCCCAGCCGGAATCCACCAGGTGAGTGCCCAACATCCTCCAAGGGGCAGCCCCTTCCATGCTGGACAGCTCTAGAAAGCACCAGCTCCAAGCAGCATCTCTGCAGTGTCTCCCACTGCTCTTGGCTCTGTCCTATGGTGACCAAGAGAACAAGCTTCTTCCTTCCCCCATGGGGGAGACCCTCAAATACTTCAGTTCAAGATCAAGAAAGGCTTCTCAGGGGCAGTGAGGTGGCACAGCGGATAGAGCACCGGTCCTGGAGACAGGAGGACCCAAGTTCAAATCCGGCCTCAGACCAGACAATGGATACTTACTAGCTGTGTGACCCTGGGCAAGTCCCTTAGCCCCAATTGCCTCACCAAAAACAACAACAACAAAAAAGAAAGGCTTCCCTCTGGAGGAGGGGAGATCAGGTGAACCCTAATGGAAACGAGGGACTCTATGAGGAGGAGACAAGGACGGAGAACGTCCCAGGCATGAGGGACAGCCTGGGCCGAGATGCCAAAGGAGGAAAAGACTGGATACCGAGTCTAGGGAAAATAGGTCAGTTTGGTAGTTTGTGAAACAAGCCTGGAAAGGTGGGTTGGAGCCATAGGGAAGAGAACTAGGTCAAGGTTGGAGGGAGTCGCTGGGGCTCCTACAGCAGGAGAGTGACGTGGTCTGATGTCTTCATGAGAAAGCTTATCTTGGCAGTTGTGTGTTCAATAGATGGGAGAGGGGCAAGACTAGAGGCTGGGAGAGCAATTAGGACATTGCAATAGTCTGTTAAGAGGCAATATTGGCCTGAATCGGGGCAATGATAGGGAGAGGACAACGTTACAGTGATTGAGGCAACAAAACTGAGTAAGAAATTGGGCTAAGACAGACCCATTAAAAGATCAAGCCAGGGTCAGGAGGACAGAAAGAGGGCCCTGAAGGTTGTCAAGAGTGCATTATAGCAAGCAATCAACAAGCACATATTAAACACCTACTATGTGCTAGGCAGCAGGGTCAGGATACAATGAAACCATCCCTGCTCCTAAGCAGCGTTCATCCTACCAAGGGAAGCAAGCACAGGTGTGAGTCTATACTAAACAGATACAAGGAGTTGTCAACGAAAACACAAGGTAGCCTGGGAGGGAGTGGGGAATCGGGAGAGGCTTGTGTCTTAAAGGAAGAAGGGGATCTGGAACACTGACCAAGCTCATTAAGGCTATGGGAGAAACGGGATGGGAAGAGAAGGGGCTGTTGATCCTAGGAATCGACCCACCGGTTATGCCAGGCCCCTGAAAACAGGGCCCTTGTAAGAACTCTCAAAAGAGGCTATGGAAACACAGAATCAGCAAGACACAAGGCAACACGAACAGGGATCCAACCCAACCCCCAACATGCAGGCTGCGGAGGGCAGGAAGTCTGTACACAGGCTGGGTGGACCAGGCACAAGAAGGCGACGCCCATCACAACAAAAGACTTGGGTGGGCAAGTACAAGCTAGCATGGGAAGAGACGAAAGGGGGTTTCATGTCTCCCAAAGACCCACAGGGAAGCACCTACTCTGGGCCAGGCACTGGGCTAGGCCTGGGGATACCGGGACAAAGTTCCCTTCCAGTCTTTGCAGCCCCAAGGCCTAACGCAGCACCTGGTTGGCATGCAGTAGGTGCTTAATGAATGTTTGTTGCATTCAATTGGACCCAAGGCTCTGGTCAGAGCAGTCCCCCAGACGCCTGAACATCTTCTCCCTTTAATTTTGTCTCTCAGAAAGGAGCCCGGGAGACAGCCAGGGAGGGGCACACCCCATCTGTAAGCTCGCTGCTCCGGAAAGCTCACTACCCACTCACACCGTGTCACCATCCCTGACATCTGGAGTCTGGGAAGAGGTCATGGGAAAGAAGGAAAGAACATGGCTGATTTCCTGTTTTGATGAACTCAAGTTCACATAGTCACCCAGGGCAAGGACAGCTCAGGCCATCTGCCTCATAATAATAATGATGATGATGATGATAGCTAACTTTTTTATAGCACTTACTCTATGCCAGGCACTGTGCTAAGCACTTTACAAATGTGATCTCCTTTGCTCCTCACAACAGCCCTGAGAAGGAGGTGCTATTAGTATCTCTATTTTACAGATGAGGAAACTGAGGCAGGCAGAAGTTAAATGACTTGCCCAGGGCCACACAGCTAGTAAGTGTCTGAGGCTGGATTTGAGCTCAGGTCTTCCCGACTCCAGCGCTTTACTCGAGGTGCTTCTCATACTAGTTTCAGGGGAAGGAGAGAACACGGGGAAGGGGGCTTCAGGTGTGATAAGGAAACCAATGTCTTTCCATCTAGCATGGCTTCTTGGGAATCTCCAATCCCACCAGGCATGGTTCATGTTTGAGGTGTTACTGAGCCGGGACAAGCCTGAAGTGACCCCACCCACTGGCCCCAAGCCTACATTTGAAGAGACATCATTCCCTGGACCCCAGACGTGGACACATCTCCCAAATCTGGGGGTAGGGGGGTACCACTTGAGTTACAACCATTCCCACCAATCAATTGCATCTATTTCCAGCTAGATCTGATTTGATTAAAAAAAACAAACCCACTATTAAGTCCCTACTAGGTGCAGAGGAACATAAGGGAGATGAGAGCAGGCCCCCTTCTTAGAGCCAAGAGGACACACACACACACACACCCATTGCACAGACAGCATCATAGGAAAACTGCCCTTTTGACAGATAAAACAAAATGCCCCATCTGGGAAAAGTGTCTAGAGGCATCTAGGAATAGGGAAGGTATTCTGGCACAATCCCCTAAAGGAAGAAAACTGCGGGGATCTGAGTAACTTGCCTGGGGACTTGTTCTCCTCTAGACCCACCTTGCCCCTGCCCCGTTCCTGCCAGGCGCCAGCTCCCTTTTCTTCCCCACCTAGAATCGATTACACTTTCCATGCTACAAACTCCCAGCTTGCTGGCCAATCAGGGGAGAGCCGGCTTCCCCTCGTCAGCCCTGGTGCCCACACCTGCATCCCCCAGCTGCCCATCGTCAGAACAGTCCCATGCCTTCGGAGCCTGGGGCAGCACTGGGCCCAGGGCCGGGGGCAGCCCTGTGGGAGCTAGGCCAGAAGATCACCCACTGGAGGCTCTGGCAACCTTCCTGGGCAGATCTCTTTCCCTTCTCCTTCCTGCCGTGACCCAAAGACCCCGGCCAGCTCTCCCAGGGCAGCTTTCTACTGTGTGAAGGTATTGGCGGACGGGCCCAGGGCTGCTCCAGTTCTGAAGATGGGTCAGTGGTTGCCCTAGAATGGAGGTGTTGCCTGCTGTCCCCATTGGCTGGGAGTATCTCCCTAGTGTCCTTCTCTCGCTGACCCCGATTCCCCTCTGTGCTTCCACTCTCACACAAAGCCACAGAGCTGTCTCTGCAAGAGTTAAAATGAGCAAATGAAGACTTAGTCACTCCGGGCCGGAATGAATGACTGGTTTAGTCCTGCAAAGGCCCTTTAAGGTACCACACTGGGTGAGAACAGAGAGAGGAAGTGACCTGCCCAAGGTCATACAGCTAGTAAGGATGAGGGGAGGATTTGCACTTGAGAGTTGTAATCACAGAAGGCCAGATGCCAGAGACTTTTCTCCATCTCTGCTTCTGCACAGGCCCAGTCCAGCCAAAAGGGAAGCAGGCAGATCCCTGTGGGGCAGATTCAGTCTGCCGACTGCTCTTCAGGGGCTGCCTTGGGGCTGGCCATTGGTCCCGGTGAAAGGCCTGGAATGTGGTTAGACAGGCAGAGAAGACGACGACTTTACCCCCGTCCACTTGTCTCCTTCCTTTTCCTCTACACGTTTACCAGAATCGTCTCATCTGCATCAGAGAACAGAAGAGGCTCAGGCTTCAAAGCCTGAAGAATCTCAGGCCTTGGACCTCTTTGTAGTTACTAGGCAAACAACCATTCGCTGGCTTCCTGCCGAGCCTGACTGACAAACGGGAGGCATCTATCTGGAATGCTCCCCGTGTTAGAAAGCAAGACCTCTGGAGGGGGGATCTGCACCCCTGGACCGCGAGGAAACATCGGAAGAGAAAACTGAACCGAAAGCCTGGGTTGGGCAGTGAAAGGCTGGCACTTTGTTGGCCAGCACCCAGGGCGTGAAGTGCTGGGGAGAGTCTTTGGTAGCCATGATTCTGAGGGAACCTGAGGGAGGCTTTCTCCTGGCTCCCAAGCGAGCTGGGGAAAAGTGATGGGCTTTGGGCCCCAGTGGATGAAATCAAGACCCTCAAAGAATATAAGGAAGGGCAGTTAAGGCGGATGATAAGACAAGAGAGAGGAGACCTCCAGCCATATGAGGCTCTTCCATGAGGAAGAGGGAGTCAAGGATTTCTTTCAGCTGAGCCAGAAACTGGAGGTGGTGGAGACAATAACAGCACGCTTTTATAGATGACAATCGTGCAGCAGCCACCGGAGACCACAGTGGGGCAGGTATCAGCAAAGCAGCAGGGCTAGCTTAGCAACGTCTACAGAGATGATTGAAAACAGTCGGGAAAAGGCCCATG